CGCGCCGAAACCGCAGGCGGCGAAGCCTCCCCGCCCGCCTGCCCGCCCGCCCCTTTAGTCTGAGCCTCAGCCTGAGCAGGCTCTTCGTCTCCTCTCCTCCTCCTGAGTAACATCGGAACACGAAAGCTTGTGCCCGAGCGAAGTTGCCCTCGCGAACGCAACTGCGGAGACATGAAGATCAAAGATGCCAAGAAGCCATGTAAGATCGCTTCTCTCGTTTGGGGAAGTTGCGCCTTGTATATTGCCTGTAAAAAGAAATCGGTGTCTGTGGTAAATACTGGGTGTTTCGATGTCAGTTCTGTTTAGGGCTTTCGCTTCTGTTGTCTTCTCTTAGAAATAACTGGGATTGTGAAAGTGCAAACGTATTTTTAAAAAACAATGCAAGTGACGTTATGGGCACCTCTAGTGGCTTCGTAGGCTTCTGAGGGGGTTTTAATGACATACAAGATTGTCATTGACCGAACTGTGGAAATTCGCATTAAGCTGTAACTCAGCAAGTAGCGTATTTACCTTTTCTCATCTAGTGATAGCAGCACAGACATTTACTAGTACTGAAGCAAAAGTGCATCCAGCTCATACATGCATTTCTGAAAGTAAGTCCCAGTGATTCCAGTGTGACTTAATAATGAAAAAAAGCTTTTTCATAGCCAAAGCGGAAGTAAGCAGTGCCCTCCAGTTATAATAGTGCATTTCCAGAAAAATCAGTATTGTATTCTTTTGACTGGTTGCATGGACATAAAAAACTAAATTCTGGATAGAGAGGAATGGATATCAGGCATCTTATAGGAGTTTATAATGCCAAAATAGCAAAGATGATCAAGGGGAAATACAATTTCCAAAATAAAAGTTTGCTTTGCAGAACATCTGTAAAGTGACATGTCTCTTGCTCTATGTCTTGGCAGGAAAATATTTATACAAGTCTGAAATCTAAGCTGAACTAAAACACCTTAAATTATTGTATTAAGTAACTTAATAAGAACATGCTGTATCTCTAAACAATTCCTTTTTTATATATATTGTTGCTGGCTAACCCAATATACATTAATTTGAAAACATACTGCTTGTACTTTTTCATTTCTATAGCTGGAATGTAGTATAATAACTGAAGTGCCAAAAAGAGAGAAGTGGTTAATTTACAGTAACCTTTTCAGTTGCTTCTTTTGAGAATTATTCCATTACCAAGCTGCTGCCCACATGTTAATATGAAAGTTTATGCTTGAAGTCATGCTTCAAGTTTATGCTTGAAGTCATGCTTCAAGTTTATGCTTGAAGTCATTTAATATAAAAAGACTTCACTATATAGAAAATATTTATAAATATTTAACATTTATAGAACATGTTATATTTGAAATTGTATTCCTCAGTTTTGGATGCAGTGCAGTATATTCCTGTGGTCATATTTCCATGGACAAAATACTGTCTGATTCAGTGGAACAATATGTACAAAATCGCTGAAAAATTTGCTGTACGTGCATAATCTGCTAGTAAAAAGAAATGTTTTTAACAAGATAGCTTTTGTATTAAAATACATCTCACCATATTGTGGAATATTACTGCTTGGTTACCGTGTGCCTGCTCTATCTGAGATCTGGGAACAAAACACTGATGGCCAGCTTCAGGGTTACTGCTTTCCCTTCTTAACAATTAAAATAAAATTAACACAGGACCCCTTCACATCCAGGACTGTGAAAGAAAGAAATAATGCTTCCCTGAAATTGTATTAATGAAAATTCTACTTCATAAAAGCAAAAAGATACTGTGGAAAATTTGGGACCTTCAATTGAAAATGTACCTAATTTTTTTTTTCTAAAACTAGGACAGCTTACTTGCTTCTGTTAACCATATTTAGAGTCATTCAGACTTATGTTCCCCCAACAGGTCCATAAAAATCTAACTTCAAATAAGTGGCTGTTCATCTTTTAAGGCTGAATATTATTACTGTTCTGTTGGCAGAAAGAACGTTC